GAAAAAGCCCAGAAATGTCTGACAACCTTTTCGAAGCCCTTAGCCCAATCCAAGACAACACATTTCTAAAACTTATTGATATATAGGTACTACTTAATCGAAGGAAACCATTGTATTTATATGTTAACTAATTTTGTTTTGTTGCACTGTGCAAGGTAATACTATAGGTAACCTATAGTAATTGATGCTGTACCATGAATAAAAAAAATTAAATAAATATATGGGCTAATGTTTAGTAAACTATATTTGAATAAATGAAATCAACTAAACACTGAGACATAATACATTTATAATTCCTTTTTAAATGTACCTAATATTTATTATATAATATATAGATAGTAGATACCAAGAAGTAATTATATTATTTTTTAAATGGTCTAAATTTGAAGTGTTCGTATAAAATAACCAACTTTTTATCGTATTTTTAACGGATACTATAGATTAGGTGACCCACTAACCCCCCACCTAAATATGTCACTGTTTTAGTGCAAGTTGTCTGTTGAGAGTTTGAGTTGTACACTTTCACTAATCGTATTTCAGTAAATTATATAATATTAAATATGTCACTCCGTTTTATAATTTGTCATTTGTAACATTAAAATTCACTTATACAAGATAGATATCATATATTTTATACATCGCTATTATTTTAAATCTGAACATTTATCAGTAATCACCTATATGCCACTACATTTTTGTATTTTCAAAAAAAAAAAAATAACAATAATTCTACACAGTTTGAAAACGTAGGTAATTACGAGTTTAAGTTATAAGTTATATTTTTTGATTATTTTAACCGACTTCTCGTATTTTTAATTTGTTCTTGTAAAGCAAAATATTTTCAATTTTCATGAACATTTTTATATGTAGGTACCTTTATTAGTCCTTTAATGAATATTTTATGAATTGTTTATTTTAATTTATAACTATTATGAGCCGAGTATTTGTATACAATTTTGTGATGTATCCTCTGCTACCGCTTCACACAATATATCATTATAATTTATAAATATTTGTATACACTTATTATGGAATGACAATTGGTTTGGATTAAAGAGGGCAGATGTGAGATGGGGCACCTGCCACTGGGAGCAAGTTTTTTAAAAGCGCGTACAATATTGTACAGTGTATAGTAAATTACTATACTTATAATATTATATTAGTCATATTTATTGTATTAAAATTATAACTCATATATTTTTAAAGGCGGGAAAAATAATTAACTCGGCCGCCAAATTTCTGAAATCTTGAAGTTTTTTATTAAAAGGTGTGTTTCATTGTCAAAAAAAAATATATAAAATAAGATGACTGATACATGGTCCCACTTTGCATAGAATCTGCATTTATTCAAATTCTGATTTTTGGAATTTTTTAGTAAACCGTATTTTTTAGATAATTTACATTTGCATAGTTTGTATCGATACAAACTCTTGTTTTCAAATGCAAACCACACTTTTTTTGCGAAGTTCTAAAACTTTATGAATACCGATAATAATCCTTACAATAAAATTCTTTTACATATTATTATAAAATATATGAAATATTTAGTCTAGTTGGTGTTGGTCTATTTTATTTATTATACACAGATAATTTTCACAAATTATATAATTATATGCTGTTAATGATATTACTTAATTATACTATGATTTAAAAATCATCATAACCTCCATGCCCCCTACCTTTAAACCACGGTATAATATTATATATATCATCGTATAAGAACATAAAATTTAATAATTCAGAAACTACTCGTTAGAATTTCGATTTTAATAGGTAGGTGCATCGTATATCAAAATTTAAAAAAAAAAATTGTGTTTAATAATTTACTGCTTAAAAGAGCGGTTTTCATTTAAAATCAGGATTTTGGATTATTACAGGTTTACTGGACACTGCTTAAATTATATAAAATACAGCAAGTCAGCAATGATATATTTATACAAAGTTAAATAAATATTTCAAAAAAATGCATGATTAAATAAATAAGATAGAAATGACTGTGAGCATGCCTAGTGAATCAGATTGTATATAATAATATAACATCACAACATAGGTACCTTAAAATAATATTATTGTAATAATTATGATTTATTAAATATACCTATATTATATTGATATAATAATAACTATTATATATAATATGTGAATATGTAAACATAATAACAGCTTCATCTATTTTAATATAATACTGTCGCTTACCTACATATCGCGAACATTATACTCGAATAGTTTGAATAAGAGTTTGACGTTTCTGTTTCGATGCACAGTGAAGCGTTGCCGTAAAGTTAAATAAAAAAATAAAAATCGATAAATATAATGAACGTAAATCGTAGACAGCTATAGGTAAAAGTATATGTTCCTATAGCCTATATACTATATACACTACAGTATAATAGTCGTGGACGTGTGTGAATGTTTAAAGAATTTCAATTCACCGTAGTGAACGGCGTCGTACCACCCGTACACCACTTATCGTGTGCCGTCGAAATAATGACGTTTCGATAATATAATAGTAATAATAATATTCAAAATCAAATTCAAAGGCTCGCCGTTACGACGTCACAGCGCACGTCAACTACCGCAAGTGCCGCTACCCACTAGCCAACGAGTTGAACAAATGTCTGTGTGACGTGACGAGTCGTGACCACGTCGCTGGTCGTCGTCAAAAGTCCCGCCAAAAATGGTCAGCGACACAGCATTGCGGCACCGTTCGTAGTGGCCAGCGGGCCTCCGTTGGTGATACCCGCCTCTGGAGTGTCGGACAGACGGGCCGACGACAACCCAACGGTTGGCTGCACTGCAGCCGCCGATCGGGAGACGTACGTGCGCCCCACGGGATCAAGCGTACACGGCGACCGACTACTTTAACCGTGCGGCACGTGGTGGGGGTTGCGGTGTTGATCGCGCGGTGCGTGGAAGGGATGGCAGGGGGAGGAGTGGAGGAACGAACGTTTTTGTTGTTGCGAGTGTTGCGACCGTTTCGCGCGACGTCATTTATACGTTGATTGTGTGACTATAGATGTTATTTTTTGCCCGTTTTCTCGAAAAACGAACCGAACTGCGAAAGACGACGTCCGCCCGACAGACGAACTGAACACGAAACGCGAGCCGCCCGTGGACATTCCGCCGTTGGATTTGGTAAGTTATATTTTCGTGTTCGTACGCACCGACGTTGCGAGTGACGCCGGCGAGAAACCTCGTTGTCCGCCGAACACCTGACCGCCGCCATTTTGTCGTAGCGGTGGCGTGATGTTATTGTTATTGTTGTGGTCGTCGTACTCTGATAAACTCATGTGCTTCCGGCGGCGGCGACAGAGGAATACGCGTCGACGTTCGGCCGGCAGCCAGCCGAACCCGCGACGCGCCTAACCGTCGTGGCACGTCCGTTTATGTGCTCCGAATTTGTGCCAAACATGGCGTGCCACTTCCTGGTAGTGACCCAGAACTCCGCGTCTATCGACTATTACTCGATAACGGTCGCGTTCTAACTTCTATTACTCGTAGCTGCCCTTAGGAGGGTTTCGTTTTTCCGATTGGTCTTGTCGCCTCATCTGACCGTCCGACGGGGTTTCCCGTTACCCCTTAAAACCCCCGAATACCTGTTCGCCGAAACGCAGTCTTTAAAATCATGTTTTCCGTCAGCTGATGGAATCGTTTTAAAATTATCACAGCCGTGCCGATAATTCACCTGTATAACCCGCCACATACGGCGATATCTCGTTCACGTAATATTCGTCAAGTAGATACTCGCCGACTGTCGTTCATTATCCCAAGTGTGTATTTAGGTAAACGGTAATTACGCTTATCGAAAAACTAATCACATCTCTTTAGTACGTCGGTCGCGTGTATACTTAGTTGTTCCGACTTTTTCCCTATATTCTATTTATAGCAGTAGTCAACTCACGAGTGTCGATAAACTCGCACGTTGTATGACGCGGCATGATTTATCCAATTTTCTTAAAATTTTGCTTTGAACTTGGTTTGCTCAGCTGTTCAGCTAATTTGTGGGTTTGATCGGCTTTTTTATCATAATAATTACCTGGGTTAGAAAAATTATTCAAGAATTGAAAACAAAAGAATTTTACCGTATTACAGATATTTTAATCTACAGTACATTTTACTTAAATAAGCACCAAAAAGTATAACATTTTCTAGGATACTAAATTAATAGAATTTTTGAAGTTATATAAAAATAAGTATTTTTATTCGAGATTAAAAATAAAGTAGTGTTTTCTGTGTTCTGTATTTTATTTTTTGATTTTAACCTTAAATATTACCAATTTGTATTGATTTTGTTTAAACTATAAGTTATAAAATTGCTTATATTTATAGATACGATTAATATTCAAATTCACAAGTTGTAGTTTTAACTTTGAATATACATTTAATAAATTAACAATTGTATTATAATTTTTGAAAATAACAATATGCTAAGCCTATAATAACAATATTATCCCAAAATGTTATTACAGAATACAATTTAAAGCCATCTAATTTTTTCAATATCAACAGATATTAGTGGTAAAACCCAGTGATATATTAGATTATAGGTATTGTAATTTCTTGATAAATATTTAATTGACCATTTAAAAGATAAAATTAGGTATTTGATTATTTATTTTGTTCTTCTATTTATATAGAAAAACATACCAATTCATCATGTTTTATTGTTGATTATATTTTTTTCCAGGTTTATTAAAAGTTTCTCCATTGGAATCAGCTTTTTGTAACTCTTCGTTGATAGAGTGATATCAACCAAAGAAAAAAAGACATTATTTTCATAAGTGAAATAAGTTTTCTATAATTTAACTTACATTTTTATAAAGAGAAAAGTGAATACTTCATGGTATTTTTATTAAATGTTGGTTATTTTTTTATTTGTTGTAAATAATAAAGTCTAAGTAGACACGTTTTAGTGTTAAAAAGTGATTGTTTTATCATAAATTAAAACAATTTTTTTTTGTGTACACACGTTGGTTCTTTAGAACCTCAAAGAAGTTTAGATGCTTGCTACAAATCACAATAACTCTGGGATTAACCTCAATATGCCCAGCAAACAGTTAAACAGGATGTAAGTAACAATGGTTAGTTCCTATTAATGCAACTGTATACCTAACTGTTTTTATATGTCCAGTAGCTTCGAAGGAATAGATGATGCAGGTTGGAAGGCCAAACTTAAACTTCCTCCTCAAGATCACCGGATTAAAACAAGTGTGCGTAACATATTCAATGAATACATTAAAAAAATACATAAAATATTTATTTATAAAATATTATTATAGGATGTTACTTCAACCAAAGGAAATGACTTTGAAGAATTCTGTTTAAAACGAGAATTATTAATGGGTATATTTGAAAAAGGTTGGGAAAAACCTAGTCCTATTCAAGAAGCAAGTATTCCAATAGCACTTTCTGGCAAAGATATATTGGCAAGAGCAAAAAACGGCACAGGAAAAACTGGTGCTTATTCTATACCTGTACTTGAACAAGTGGATCCAAAACTAGATGTTATACAAGGTACAAACATTGATCTTTTTCTTGATTTTTTATTATTATAATTATCAACTTTTGTTATAATATTTTGTATGAATGTTTTATGTTTTAGCACTTGTGATTGTGCCAACCAGAGAATTAGCATTACAAACTAGTCAAATATGTATTGAGCTTGCAAAGCACTTGGACATTAGGGTCATGGTGACTACTGGTGGAACTAATCTTAAGGATGATATTCTTCGTATTTACCAAAGAGGTAAGTTTTATGAATAATGTTGTAATAACTGTTTTCTTGGCCCAAGATTTAAGCAAGGGAGTGTATTTATAATCAGAACTACCTACTAAATATTATATTTTAAATTTTCCAACATTGATATTATAACATGATGCATTTTAAATTGATAATGCATTTTTAGATTAATATAGAAAATATATTTTTAATTTTGCTCTATGATGAAAGATTTTGGATTCCCCTTCACTTAAAATACTTTATGAGTGAGATATAATATTTGAGAGCTTAAATAATAAATATCAAATTAAATTATTTTCCGAATTTTATACTATTACTATTTACTATGATAGGCAAATTTCAGTGCAATCAATTCTAAGAGAATTACAATTTTTTCCCAGTCTCTTGGAAATAAACAATTTAATATTAATTCATAGTTATTTAAATAGTTTTAATTGTTTGTTTGAATATACATATTCTGATCCTTGATGATATATTTTGGATTCCCCTTTACTTAAAGTAAATGAATAGTTTAAAAATTTTAATTCCAGATTTAAAGTGTAAACTTGTTATATATACCTTATACGCTTAATAGATTGATTAAAATGTCCGATATTCTAGTTCAAGTATTTATTGTTTATCAAAAAAATAATAAAATAATGTGCTCTATGATGATATACTTGGATTCCCCTTCACTTTAATTTTATGAGTGAGAAATTATTTTTGAGAGTAAATTCTAGATTTTAAATGTAAAATTGTTATAAATACTGTATACTCATAATAAATTGATTAAAATGTTTGATATTCTAGTACCTACAAGTATTTATTATTTATCAAAAATTAGTATTATATTCATGGGACTTGTCACTTGTGTAATAAATTAATATGCTCTATGATGATATACTTGGATTCCCCTTCACCTTAACTTTATGAGTGAGAAATTACTTTTGAGAGTTTAAATTCCAGATTTTAAATTTAAAATTGTTATATAGTATGCTGTATTCTCGTTTTAAATTGATTAAAATGTGTGATATTCTAGTACAAGTATTTATTATTTATCAAAAATAATATTATATTCTTGGGACTTGTATAATAAATTAATGTGCTCTATGATGATATACTTGGATTCCCCTTCACTTTAATTTTATGAGTGAGAAATAATTTTTGAGAGTAAATTCTGGATTTGAAATGGAAAATTGTTATATACACTATATACTCATAATAAATTGATTACAATTTTTGTTATTCTACTACAAGTATTTATTATTTATCAAAAAAAAATAATATATTCTTGGAACTTGTATAATAAATTAATGTGCTCTATGATGATATACTTGGATTCCCCTTCACTTTAATTTTATGAGTGAGAAATTATTTTTGAGAGCTATTTACAAATAATCAATAATTAAGTACTGTAGATATCTTATCAAAATAAAATAAGTATTGTTTATTATTCTAATAGCACCTAGATATTGAACTAAAATTTGTATTTAATTGATTATCATATACCTATTTCTCTTAAAGGAGCACACAACACAAAAAAAAAATTCAATTCTAAGAATAATGTTATAGGTTTTACGTTTCTACTCACATTATTCCATAAGTTATGTGCAATTGAAAAAAAGGCATGTGACATTATTGGGCCCGGCTCATCGTAATTGTCTATCTTATACGTGTAAAAGTTCCTTGCTTCACACTACAATATACCAACCTAAAAGTTTTATTTTTGAAATTTAATTTACATATAAATGTTTGTTTTATGTGTTTAAGAAAACACAAGTATCGGAGTTTCAATATAACGTTAAGTTTTTTAAATATTAAAAATCTTAAAAGAAATTTGAATTTTTATTTTATATTTAAATATGCCATGACACTCTGTTTAACAAAAATATCACTTAAAAGATTTATTGATATTTAAAAAAACTAAACATTGAATTTCTGATAGTTTTATTTTTTATTTTTATAATACAACACAGACTTTCGCCCAATTTACAATTATACAATTTAGTACAATAAATATATATATATATATATATATATAGAAAAATTAAAAATTATTTAGTGATAAGGATATCTTAAACACATAATATCATACATTTATAAGTTAACTAAATTTCATAAATAAAAATTTTAAATCGGTAAATCGTTGTGTGAAGCGAGGAACTTAAATACCTATAATTACATTTCCTAATAACTCATAAAAGAATCATTTTTTTACATCGGATTTTCACCAAATCATTTAATATAGCTACAATAATTTAACTTTAATTGGTTGCTATTTAAATAATAAGCATAATATCTAATTAAAATCTCTTCAATAATTGTGAAATTTAATACAATCCATTTTTGTAGCAAAGTAAATTTCTGGTATTCAGTATTACTGTTATTTCCTATTATTATGTTTCAATATAGTGGTTTTATTAAATGTATTATATTATATAAAAAATGAATATATCTGGAAGCTGCAATTACAGTATGATGCATATAACAAAGTCTCAATAAGTTAATAGATCAACACAATTTTTTTGAATCTTTGTTTCATAGGTCTTAAATTATTGTTTGATAATTTAGCACATGTTAACTATATTATTATGTTATAAAACTTTATTCTGTGTCACAAGAGAATGCATATGGCTATTGGCTGTTCTTATAAATGACTGCGTTTTGTTGTCTTGAATTCTTAATATTTTCCAATCACTCGTCTACTGAAATGTGAATACCTTGGCACCGATAACAACGGCCGGTGCTCGCACTAGTATAGTGGTGGGAAAGCTGGGAGTTTTAGTCTGTATGCATTCTCTTGTGGCATGGAATTTAGCTATATCTCAAAATCACAATTTATTCATTGCAAACAAAAGCAACACAGATGACATTTAGTTAGTTTTTTTTACTTATATGTTTAAAATTATAAAATAATTTTTTTGAATTAACTATAACAAATTGGGATCCGGTTTCTAATATTTTGTTTTGCTATGGTCTGTGTATTGCTTTAAAGTTAATATACACTAATCCATTTTGAATTGTTTATAATATTTAATTGATTACATTTTTTATGTATGCATTATTAGCATTATATATTAATATTTTTTATAGTGCATGTTATTATTGCCACTCCTGGAAGGATATTGGATCTCCTAGACAAAAGCATAGCTAAAGTTGATCATTGTCGGATTTTAGTTTTAGATGAGGTAAATACATTTTCTTATTTATTTCATTACTCACAAAATGTATCCTTTTGATTTTAGCCAGTTAATTTGATATTATGTCATTTTTGTTTTTAGGCAGATAAACTTTTGTCACAAGATTTTAAAGGTATGTTAGATCATATAATTTCGAGGTTACCATCTGAGAGGCAAATCCTCCTATACTCTGCCACATTCCCTCTGACTGTCAAACAGTTTATGGTGAGTACTTTAATTAAGTCAATGAAATTACTTGACTGTAATCATAGATAATTTAATCAACGTGTATTGTTATGTTTTAGGATAAACATTTACGTAGTCCATATGAAATAAACTTGATGGAAGAGTTAACCTTGAAAGGAGTTACTCAGTATTATGCATTTGTTCAAGAAAAACAAAAGGTTCACTGTTTGAACACTTTGTTCTCAAAGGTATTCATTCTAATAAAATTATGACTCAATATATTTTTTTTAATGAAATACTTACATCTTTTATTCTTATTTATTTTAGCTTCAAATAAACCAAAGTATAATATTTTGTAACTCAACACAGCGTGTAGAGTTACTTGCTAAAAAAATTACTGATCTCGGCTATTGTTGTTATTACATTCATGCTAAAATGGCCCAAGCACATCGTAATCGTGTATTCCATGATTTCAGAAAAGGATCTTGCCGCAATCTTGTTTGTTCTGGTAATATAGTTAAATCTAGTATTTAATTCATCTTGATTCCTCTAACACAATTTATTTTCTTCTTGTAGATTTATTTACGAGAGGTATTGATGTACAAGCTGTAAATGTTGTGATAAACTTTGATTTTCCCAAAATGGCAGAGACGTACTTGCATCGTATTGGTAGGTCAGGCCGATTTGGACATCTTGGTATAGCCATCAATCTTATCACTTATGATGACCGATTTGCTTTACACCGTATTGAACAAGAATTAGGCACGGAAATAAAACCTATACCTAAAGTAAGTTATTTGTATACTGAAAATTATTTATAGAGGAATACTAATAAGGTTTGAGTATTAATATTTAGCTGCTCATTTAAAATGAATAGAATTATCATAGAAATTGCTAACATAATTTATATTCATCATATTATAGTTAATAGAATAAGTTACTGGACGCTGTTTAATATTTTGGTTCTTAATTAATCCATTAAATGCCAATGCATATATTTTAGTCATTCTAAATACTTTTCTGTTCCTGTTATCTGTAGCGTGAATCTAACAATATTTTTAAGAAATCTATATTTGTTTTCAAAATTGTGGTAAGTTTATGCCTTATACTTGACAGAAATCTGTTAAATTTAGAATGATCAAAATATACAGGTCAGAAGCACTTTATTATTAATTGTAAGTTATAAATGAGATGTTGCAAATTATTTTTTTTTACCAAAATTTACTGCAAAATAGGCTACAAAATACACAGTTTATTGTAGTTGTAATATATCTCATGGAAAATTATATTTATTTGATTACTGTTTCTTTTACTATGCTATTTATTTTTATTTACTAATATTTGTGTATTCAGAAACAATTCTTTTACAAAATTGTTCACAAATCTTAAGAAATTTTTTTATATTTGTTTGTCCTATACTCTGGTATGTTTTAATTATTATTAAAAAAAAAGTAACAAAGATACACAGATGTATTATTACTTTTTCCTAAATAATTAATATATTTTTGAAAATGATGTTTAATTTATTATATAACATTACTTTTTTTGTCTTACAGGTAATTGATCCAAGGTTATATGTTGCACGACCAGAAGATGTAGATATTAATGAAGAAATGGACCTTAGTAAATGAAAAATCCTCCTTCCCCAACTATTGTAAATATTTGTATCTAAAACAAACTCAATACCTAAATACTTAACTTTAAGACTCAAAGAACCCAAGATATATACATTTTATTTTTCAATCGATCCAAAGAAAAATTTGATTTAAAAGCTATTTGCAGTTCACTTAAATTTTTATTTCTATTTCTTAAATTCATAACTAAAATCTCTTCTCTTCTTTTGTTTTTTTTTATTATTATTAGTATTATTTTATTTTCATTTCACAAGAAATTTATGTTGCCTTGCATGGTAGTACTGTAATCTCGTTGAGGTGACTTAACTTCTTGGATCAAGCCTTTCGTGAACAGTACTACATACTTGCCACATTGGCAATAAAATATGTATATATTTAAGATAAAAACAAATACCCTCGCTGTTGTCCGATATATTGTACATAAGAGTATATTATTTATTATATTTAAAAACATTAAAATTTATTGCTATTGAATTAGCGAAAAGATCTCTTATGCAAGTGCGGCTATTAACAATTGATCCAAATTGTGAGCTGAGAATACAGCTATCTCAGTTCCAGTACGAAATAACAAACTACTAAAAGCTGGAACCCGTCCTACAAAATTGTTTTCTTAGTATTGGTTTATGAAAACATTCACTTCAGCCCGATTGTTTTCTTACCAATTTAATTTTTTTCTGGTTTAATTTTGGACGGTAAAATTTTAATAACTATTTATGTATTTGACCTAATAAATAACTCTTTCAAAAATTTGTTTCATGTTCATAATTTGACTTGGGATTTCAGGGCTGAAGTCAAATTATGTATGGGGGGAAAAATTCGTTAAATTTTATTTTTTTCTTAATGAAATAAATAAGTACCATTTTTGTTTCAAGACTTAGAAACTAAATTAAAAATTAAAATAAAACCCTTATTATAGTTCGACAAAGTTTGGTACTTGATTTTCTTTTTCAAAAAATAAAATATGGTGTTAGCATTGCTGCGTTAATTAGGAGTTAAATAACTGCTACATCGAAAAAAAAATATAAAATAATCATAAAAAATGGTTGTAAGTTACAAACAAATTTTATTTTACTGAATTAAAAATCAATATTTTAATCAAACCGCCTACTGTTGCTACAGTTAAAATTATATTTGTTTATAGAACCAAATTCTATTAGACTTTCAATAAAATATTTTAAGTTAACTAACATATGTAATTTTTATATCAACTATAAATCTCGTTACCCGTTAAATTAGTGTATAACATATTATTTTCTCTATTATGTATTATTAAAATTCACTGTGTATCCAACTATTTTCATGTCAAAAAAATTTATTGTTATATACAAATTTTGTGTAAATTTGTAAATGGATAAAAAAAAATGAATTGATTACAATTAAATAAATCCAACTTTCAACCACCATTTAAGTTTTTTTTTTATCCTTAAAACTATTCTACTTAACAATTTATTGTTAAATTCAATAAATATTGTGTGAAAATAATACATTACACTAATATCATGAATATTTTTCAGAGCAACAGTTTATAGCACTAATAAGATTATGGTTTTCTTCATTAAAATTTAACACAAATGGAATGAAAGGTGAAGTATTGATTAATGTTGATTATAGATCCAAATATTGAACATTTAGCTGAAACTTTGAGAATAATTTCTCAGTAGATCCATAATAGTTAAAATAATTGTATTCAATAAGTCATGGTAAATTAGTGAAGTATTGAGGTATTCAAAGTTAATTGAAATACTTATACTTAAACCTAAACAAATACTTAAACTAATACCTGAACAAACATTAGAATTAACAAATAACAATAATATAATTAGTTGAAGAAGCTCATAGCAGACCTTGCCTTAGATTGGTTTTAACTTATGAAGATTTAAATAACTTACTTTGGTATTTTGTGTGTAACATTTTGGTTTTACGATTGGATTTTTTATTGTGGTTTTTCTATGTTTTTGAAGTGTAAAAATCATTTGATCTTATACTTTGATGCCATGAGGGTGATTTCTTCTGAGAGTAGCAAGTGGACTTAGTTTGAAACAATTTATTTACAAATTAGGAGTGGTCGAGCGGATTAAGGCGCCGGTTTGATGCCAGCCGCGGGCGGCATTTTTCTTCGGGCAAGTCACAGTCACGATGTTCGGAGAGGAGTGACGCGTAAACTATATTAAATAGATATTAATATGAACTTTAAATATTAAATCTATACAGTATACACTCAATCTGGCAATCATATTAATTAAATATGATAAAAAATTAAATTAAATACAAATAATTATTACGAAATCACTTAGAGTAGGTATTTTAAAATTGTTGTCTCGATAATATTTAAATAATAATATGTTGTTTACACTTATAGTCTATAACCCATAATATACCCCGATAAAAAAAATACTAGGCATAAATACATATATTACAATTTACTTGTTAGAATTTATATTTTATTTATTTAATACGAGATTATATAACCTACTACTAAATTCTAAAAAAATTTGATTTCAGATTTCTAATTATTATAAAAGTCGATTTTAACAACTGATCAATTAAATATGTTTTAAAGAAATTAACTATATTATATTATACACGACTATACATTTTAAATTATAAAATAGTTTATGGTGAGATAAATTATTTTTTTACAATAATCTTATTTTATTTTAATTTTTACAAAATATAATTACATTATAGTATTATACATTAGTAGTCTTTCTGAATTTCAGGTGGAGAATCCGCTGAGCGTTTTCGAAACCGAAAAGGTTATTTATCGTTCAACGTTCAGGCGATAAGCAACGCTAATCTAAAAACACGGACTTAGTCCGTGTCTAGAAATAATGGATATAGTTGCAAGATGTGAAGATAATATAAAATATGTTCTGGTATCATGGGCGGATAGGTACTTTTTTTTTACCGGGATATATTTATTGGGGCCTCATATAACTAGGGCCTATATATTATATATATATAAAAAAAAAAAATGCTCGCTTCGCTCGCAATACCTTTTACAATCAAATCATATTATATATTACGTACTAAAAAATAAATTTAAAAAAAAAATATAATTATTAAAATGATAACAAATTTTTAAATGTTCTATTCCTAGCAGCTAATTTATTGATCACATCATTTGAATCAATTGTACTCAGTAAATCTTTTTCAACATTCATAAGCATTAAACTTTCTAAAATGTCTTGGCTTAATGTATTTCTCAAGAAGTTTTTTATATATTTCAATTTAGAAAAACTCCTTTCACATCCTACTTGTGTCACGGATAATGTCAGCATTAGTTTATACGCAACAAACAGACTGGGGTATGCATTTGTGTATAAGTTGTACTTCACGAGCACATCAAAGCAACAAACTACACAATATTTTGCATTAGTGTTTGGATTATGACTACACGATACTAAAAGTTCATCATCATTTGAACATTCTAAAAAAACAAAATTAAAAATTAAAATTATATTATCAATATTAAATAGGTAGGTAAATTAATATATTTATAAATAGTTATTTTTGTTATTACCATCAATATTTTCATCATGGTCTTGTAGTTCAGTATATACACAGTCAATATTTTTTTTTATTTCTTTCCATTTTGATATGAAGTCTATACATTCATTTCGAAAGTCTTCATACATAATTCCTGGACAATAATTGCAAATCTTGTCAAACACACCAATAAGAGCATTTTTTGGAAGTGTTACATCTGGTTTGAAATTATTAGGGTCAAGACATGCAAAATCTGCACATAACTGTCCATGTTTTTCGAATCGTGAAGAAATGCTCTCAATAACAGTGTCCAGTACTTGATTGTAAATATTAACTTCATATGAATGCAATGGGTCTGTTATAGGATCATCATCTGCCTCATAATCATGAAATTGCTTAGTTTTTTTTTTTTACGAGATTGTGGTAGACTATTTGCGATTTCTATTACATTATTTTTCATTTTTTGAAACATTTATTACGATACAATATATTTATATAAACGTAGATACCAGATACGTCATAAGTAGTTATAAGTTATAGTTATCACTCATGGAAAATGTAATTTATATCGATATACTTACCTATATATAACCGATTGATTATTATTTATTATTATGGTTGTTTATTTTTGTCATTTGAACAACGAACATATTTATTTATATTTACATTTTATACATTATTTAGTTTTAGTACCTAGCATTATAGTAAATACAACAAAATAGGTACATATTATACATTTATACGGGTATCAACGCGTATTACACAGAGGCCCCTAATAGCTAATGGTATATACAAAAATTACAAATACGCAGCCTCCAGCCGGAATTATTTTACAGTCTCATAAAAATTAATTTTTTTTTCGGGGTTGGGGCCTCAGAGCATAATATTGATGGGGGCCTACCGGGAAAATCCCGATTTCCCGATAGGCCTATCCGCCCATGTCTGGTATATCAGTCAAAGTGTTAAGAGGATGCTATACCCGCATGCGTTGTCTCCGTCTTACAAAATATGCACAACATAGCAATAACTGTTTTGCGCGGGAAAGAACCGAGAAGGTTACAATCATAACTAAGAAACGAGATTTTCACAACATAAATAGGAGAACTTTAGCTGTGCAGTGTTGTTTTTATTTTTTTGATATCATTTATATGAAAAGTTTGAAAAACACAAAAAAAAATGATTTTTGAAACAGTAAGAACTTTTTTCATATAAGTGATATCAAAAAAATAAAAACTACGTTACACAGCCAAAGTTCTCTTTTTTATGTGGTGAAAATCTCGTTTCTTAGTTATGACTGTAGCCTTCTCGGTTCTTTCCCGCGCAAAACACTTTTTGCTATGTTGTAGATTTGTAAGACGGAGACAACACATGCGGGTGTAGCGTCCTCTTAAACATAAATTATAAAAACTAAACATTTTAAATTAAAACAATAAGTAATATTATTAGTCTGTATTATCAGCCTCATTGTTGTCGTCAAATACCCATTCTGTTCCAGACTCACGCTGGAACTGGAGTTTTAGTATTTCAGTCTTCATTTTTTCTTGTTTTAATTTTTCTGCCTCTTGTTCTACCCTTAGCCGTAAGATTTTCATTTGTAATTTATGCTCTTCTCCGGCATCCCTACTCGATGCATCAAGAGACAATTTTTTAGCTTCCAGAAATGTTTCTGATTGTAATGTGGTGGTCAGGGCTGGTCTTCGAGACACTCCTTTTTTGCCAATAAGACCAACAACTACGTCCACTATTGGATCAGCTACTGATTTCATAGCTTTTCCGCCTCCTACGAAAAAGATACCATATCAATTAATAAAAATACCAAATCACGTTATTTATGTAATATGCATGTATTACCTGTGCCGTAATTGTTATCGGCTTCTATAGCCATTGCCACCTTCGCCTTCCTTTTGAGATTCTCCCACAGCGTTTTCAAGCTATGGGAGTCCCTTGGGTAAGTTGATGATGCTGCAGCGAATTTCTCCGCAATTTTTTGCCACTCGGCGTTTTTTAGTTTTATGCTTAATCCGTCCGTCTTTTTAGACTCTATTACAGCGAAGTGTTCTGTAACTATCTCAATAAGTATAGATTTTTCTAGGTACTCGAAACTACGTTCGCGCTTTCTTTTATTTTCCATAATTACAATATTAATAACAATATGAAAAATACAAAAAACACAAAACACAGTAGCCGCCAGTCGGTGCAATGTGCAAATCAAAATGTTGATAATCGCCAAACGATTAACGAACCATATCATATTATCATTGTTATCACCTTATCATAAGACACAGCTGACGATGGCTATAGATACTAGCACGATTAAAGATATACCTTTAATATCTTTAATCGTGGATACTAGTATCTATGGTAATGAAGCACGAACACAAGATATACAGGACTGGACACAGGATGAATATTGTGGTTACGAAATGTAGTACAACAGGCGGAGTTCGGGGGGATATTTTCCTTTTAGCATTACTAGTGCTGTCTTTATCTTAGTGGATACTTATGGAACTAGAACACATCATACAAATTTCTAGTTCCATGCTTAGCACCCCCAAGCTTCAAACTAGCACCCTCAGTTTATTTCAGTATTTCACCAATCATTTATAAACTATCGTGGTTTATTGGTTCGGAATTTTTCTTTTCATTACAAATATTAACAACTGTTTACGAATTCACGAATTCATTTTTTTTTTTTTTTTGTCTGTCATCATCTTTTAGGACAGTAAAAGTGCTTGGATTTTCTTCAACAGTATCTTTTCTGATAGGAAAGTGAATCTAGTTGGTACTTTTGGGGGGGGTCAAAAGCAAAAATTTCACAGTAGTTTTTAAAAGCGCCGTGAAAAAGAAAAGAAAAATTAAGGAAAAACGGGAATTTTTACGCAAAATCTGTTTTCGAGAAAATTGATTTTGGTTTTTGGTGTAACTTTAAAACAAATAACCGTAGATATATGAAATTTTCACTGATTATTTATATTTCCATTTTCTATACATGATAAAATTTTCTAAATATTTTGAGTTATTTTGAGCTTTTTACGGACATTTTTAGTTTCCATTTTTTTTAGTTTTTTTTTCTATAAGTATCAATCAAATTTTATTTGTTGGGTATAAAAGCTTAAACATTTAATAGAAGGCTCCTAATAGGTATATTATTTCAAAGACAGATGAAAAATATTAAAAATCTTTAGTCACAGTTTTTTGTTATAAGCATTTAAATTCCAAATATTGACAAAATACGTGAAAATGACGAAAATTTGCAAATTATTTCGAGTTAGAAATTCATAAAAATTTTTCTTTTTAAATCTAAGATATGAAAATGTAATGCAAGATTCCTCATAAGTTTGTCTACCTTTATAAAAAAAAAATGTCTACAAGAATCTCAAATTAAATTTTATGAACGTTTGAAATTCATATTTTTACAACATTTGATATTCATTCGATTTCTCATGTAACGATTTTCTAATTTTGTTGTAATTAAAAAACGAATGACTGTAGATACTTGAAAATTTTACTAAATTTTTATATTAGCATTTCCTATACACCATATAGTTTTGAAAATATTTTGATTCTTTTAGAGCTATTTACGGACATTTTCAGTTTTTAATTTTTTCAATTTTTTTTTCTATTCATATCAATACAATTTTATTTGTATGGTAAAAAAGCTTGAAAATTTAATGCAAAGCTCCTGATATATTGTTACAATAACACTTGAAAAATATTAAAAATACATAGGCACAATTTTTTTTTATAATTATTTAAAATTCAAATTTTGACAAAATTTATCACATTTAAAATTGAATAATAATTTTATACTTAAAAATTTATAACTTTAGAAATTATTGTATACATTATACAAATTAAATGTAATGCAATGCAGAAATATTAGGATTAGGGGGGTGTGGGGGGCAAAGCCTCCCATGGATCTGTGAACCATAAATTATGCCAGCACCCCCTAAATTCACACCCAATGTGCGCCTATGGTATTGGTACATTCTAGAAATTCGCTAAAGAGAATATAGGTCTATGGTAGGATCACGGATCACGGGCCGATTTCACCAACACAGTTAATTACGGTTAAAGTTAACCGGAGTTTTAATCGGCCAAATTTGGCCGGTTAAATATCTGTTATCAGCCGATTAAGTGTTAACCATGATTAATTGTGTTGGTGAAATCGGCCCTAAGATATCTTAGTCCGTGGGTAGGATGGAACAAAAAAAAAAAAAAAAAAAAAGCGGGAGCGGTAAGTTGGAGGGAGTATGGACGGTCTGCGATAGATTGGTTATAAATATCTTGCATATGTTGATAGGTAAAATAATTATTGATAATATATCACACGTCTACCTTATGTATATTATCAATATTATGCATTTATAATTATTATAATTAATAAAATATATACCTAGGTAAGTAATAAGTATATACAAGGGATATGTAAACTGGAAATCCTTAAAAGTACAGGGCGGACGGCGGTAAAGTGGAAATCCCCATAAGTGCTGGGCGCGCATAACAGACACTGAAATCTATAAATATACCACGGTCCTTACAAAGCATAAACTTTTGGTTACATCTTATATAAGTACATATTATAACCTCCTTTCATGACGCTTAAACATTTTTATTTCATGAAATTGTTTTCTTAGAATAATCTGATTGTTCAGATTGTTGCATATTATGATATTATATCCCTGCCGACTTTTAGTAATTATTAAATTTTTTTTGTCCGTCGCGTTTGGTAGAAACTAGGTATTAGGTAGGTAACTAATAGCACAGAACAATAGAAAACGGTATAACGCAAGAATCTGAAACAGCCTAATTAGGTCTGCATATTAAGTATTTATAATTATTAAAATTTATAAATTTTAAATTTGTAAGATAAAACCACTATTGATGCAGTATTTTCAAGATACTTGGAAAAAAATTACACCACAAACATACATATCATATTTCAGTCACAGGCCTGTAATTTTGATTATTGAATATGATTAATATAATAGTAATTAAATAGTAATAATAATAATTTTCATTTTTATTCATTTTTCACATTTACTTAAATTCATTAAACACTTAAATACATTTACTTATTGATATTTACTTTTTTTTAATGGTTCCACTAAAATGTATTTGTAATCTATAATAATTGTTGGAAAAGAAACTTCGTTTCTGCAGGGTGTCCCATGACACCACTCACTTTTTTTATATTATATTATACTATAAATTGTCTATAATACTTCTTCCCCATCAGACCAAAAATAGCATAAGTATACAGTATACTTGACAAAAATTTAAATGACTAAAAATCGTACTTGTTTCATGAGAAAATTCATCACCTCCCGGCTTCCCAGATAGTACCTACTTCTCTCCAATATTAAATATTTGGGTTAGTTTAATATTACAAATAGTTGCTTTCAATTTTGTAACACCTTTTTTTAAAGTGCACAGTTTTTCTCTTATCTCGACAAATTCCGGCAGGACTAGTTATTTGGTTTAATTTTATAGATTCATATGTATATACAGTGCCGGCGCTAGGTATTGCGGGGCCCTGGTCATAGGTAATAGCCTTTAGGTTCTCAGAGAGTAGTGAAATTTTAGCTTTTTTTTAAATCAGGATTTTAAAAAAAAGTACTGTTTTTATATATAATATAGGTAAATAATTAAATTTAAATAATGCTCTGTCAATTCTTAATGAATCAAGATTTTTTAATGAAACAAAAATCAAATTAAAGCTTATTTTTATCTTTGTTATTCACTTGCCCCATATATAATTTTATGTAATACTAATAGCAAAAACAATCCGATTTTGCACTTGCCCCATGAAAAGGGGCAAGTGTGACGTTTTAAAATTAAAAAAAAAAAAAAAAAATATTCTTAGGTGAGTGATAATATAACTTTGTTGACTATAAATTCCAATAATGTATATCTAGAGGTGTTACATTATGGAACAATAACAACTTTAAGTTAAAAACAAAAAAAGTATTGTCAAATTCAAAATTAACTTTTCATTTTTGCGTCACACTTACCCCACTTTACCTTACCTACTTGAGTAAACGGAGACAACACATTCGAGTGCGATTCCTCCTGATGAAACCTCGCTCAGCACAGAATTATTGGCGTAGCGTGAGTTTCAGTTAAACCTTTGAGTGGAAAATCGTAGGCTAATAAATTCATAAGGGCTGGTTATTTTATTAATTTACATTTATTTTAACAACTACATAAAATCATCAATTAAAAATAAATTAATTCATCAAAATGTTTGAATAAAATAATAAATTGTTTAATATCTAAGTACGCGACCGCTGCAGCCAGAATAATGCAATATACGACGGTAGACCACGGTATTCGTATCAAGATGATAATTAAAAATCACGGGGCCCTTTAACAAGCGCGGGGCCCTGGACAAATGTCCCATTTGTCCTCCCCTAGCGCCGGCACTGTGTATATAGAATGTTATCGTTCATCCAAAATTAATAATCGTTGTGTTTAATGCCTTTAATTTATTATCATCTAAAATCTTTCCATTTGTATTGTATATGTAATATTTTTTTGACGATAGCTCATAAGTTATATACTATTATTTATTACAATCAACAATAGTTCACTGTAAGTAAAATACCAGGAGATTAAAATACAAGTGAGTGAGTAAGTGCTAAGTAAAGTAACTAAAAACAATTTTAAAATGTAGGTAATTCAATCGTTCTCTACGGTCTTATAAAGCTTACAAGTCTAAACTTTTATTTAAATACGTCGTTATTTCAATAAATTATCAACATTTTTTTTTCTAGTCAGAACCCAGGAGTAAAATTATTGACATTTTGTAATTTTTTACTAGACAGTACAGACCAGGCTTAGACTATGCAGAGCTCTAAGAGTATTTAATCAGTATCCCATACATGTTTTACTGTTTATGTACTAAATTTCGGTTAAGTTTTTCGTTTTTTTTACAAAGCGTAACCTGGTATACAATTTATTTGCATAATATTTGACGTGATAAACTGAAACTTGGCAAAGAGTTGTATAGGAATGGGACAATAAATATTAGTATATTACAGGTATATAAAACCATAACAACCAATATGTAATTTATCATGGTAAAAGTTATTTATATTAACCGTATTAATTGCCTTTTGTTTAATTTATATTTGTTTTGCTGTTTTGCTGCTGTACCTGCAACATGAGTATCTTTAATTCAACTTTATATGACAGTGATCTACCTAGATTAGTTTTTGACGAAATTGAACTCAAAAACAATGTTAACCAATATATCAAGCGTATGGAGATATCTGAATGGTCTTATAATTTTAATCGTATTTTCATCAGTCCAGGGAACTCATTTAATGTAAAATATTTCATAAAGGTATTTAAACATAATGAGTAATAACTAATATGTTATTAAATAGTTACTAAAATATATAGACAATGGTTAATATAATGATAAATATTTTTAATATTTTTATTATATTAAACCTTTAGTTTATATCGTCAAAGTTGGCTAAAAATAATCAGATGTCTAAAGCACATGACCTTTTATCCAATTCGAATAAAGAAAATTATCAACTAATATCACAAAAATGGCAATCAAATGTCACAGGGTCTCAACAGTCTGAAATTATAAATGAACTAAATGTGGGAAAAAATGATGAGTTTGTTGTTGATGATATTATTGATAGGTTAACAGGCATAGAATTTTTTAGGTGAGTTTTAATATATTATAATATAGGTATAACCATATATTTTCAAATTATTGTATAATTTACATATTATTATTATTTCTATTACATTTACATTGGCATTTTAAATTTGAATAACAAAATATATGGTTTTAGATTATTGAATATAGAACCGAAAAAGCGGTTAGAAGCAATAATATATAACTATAGAGTGTTCAATAAAACTTTAGAAGATGACGTATCGTTTGAAAAATTAGATAAATTAAGCAATGACGATATACAAACAGAAGTTCCATATGAAATATACATCGAAGCAGTAGATGATGAATCATTAAAATTGAAAGTGGGTAATATTAGAATATGGTCTATAAAGGGATCACCATCCTTTTCCAAGAAGTGAACAGGGGTGTGTTCAATGGAGGGGGAGGACTAGAGGGTTCAAAACCGCCCACCCCTATGGACACTTGACAAACATAATATAATATATATGTACTTACATATATAGTTATAATTATTGTACTTCTTAATTTTTGATCAGGCAATTTGTTATTTTTTTTAAATCCCCCTCTCCTCCATTTAAAATTCCTAAGCTCACCCTGCAAGTGAGCTAAGTACAACACTACAAACATTTAAGTATCTTGTGAGCGACCACTATATTTAATTAGGTATATTATTTATATTATTATATGCAGCAAAATAATAAATTGTACAATTAAATTCGTCTTTTATTATTTCTTTATCGGAAAATTTTATGTTTTTCTTCGATAAGAAATAATTTATTTTGGATATTAAGCGTAAAAGTTAGTTTAAGATTATGCACGTGATCAACCGATATTGCAGGTATAGTTAATTTTTGATATACGATCGACCAATACTCCTCTAAAGATTGATCGCAATCGACTGGTTCCTGAAGGTTATACTCTATACCTACTCTATACTCTATACCTACTCTATACTCTATACCTACTCTATACTCTATAGCGTAAGCTATACTCTATAGCGTAAGCTATACTCTATAGCGTAAGCTATTTTATTAAGGTTTTGAGAATATAATTTGAAATTTAATAGATATTTGTATTGAAATTAGAATGAAGTTGTGAGGAAAGTAAACAGTTCAGATCTTTTGGGGTTACTGAAAACCTGCGGTATCATAGTAATCGACATATCTAGTGATATTGCGGCATTAGCTAAAGGAAAAGAAATATTCAGGTCATTAAAGAACGAAATCGTCAACCTTAAAGGTACTTATAATGTTTCAAAAAACATAAAATTGATAGTGGTAATATCAACTGTTATGACTTGGGCTGGTGTCAATAAAAAAAGTAAGCGAGTTATAACTTATACTTGTATAATAAATTAAATAAATAATAATAATATTTAAAATATAACTACTGTTCATATAAAAAGCATTATAAGAGTGAGGTTGATGTGAATAATAGAGTTCCAAATCCGAAATATATGGAACATTATGAATTTGAACTTGAAGTATTAGCTGTGAATGAAACCCAAGGAGTAAATATATTTGCATTTCGCATCTCATTATTTCATTGTACCATTGATCATTAATACTATAGTATTTATAATCAATGTTTGTATCAACATATTTATTTATTATTTGTTTTTAGTTAAAAGAAATTGTGAAAACAATTATCGTTTGGGCTGGACTTACATATGGGTTTGAACAAGATTTGTTACAATTCGCGTTTGACTCAGCTTGTAAAACTACCGATATATTTCCAATACCAAATAGCCAAAATCATTTACCTGTAATACACGTTGAAGACTTGGCCAGGTTCAGATACCTATTTATGGATTTATAAAATAACTAAGTACTGTGCGTTTATTTATTAATTGTGTTAGGGTGATACATAAAGTAATATCCGATGATCAAGCATTGGAGTATCATTATATTTTTGCTGTTGAAAGTCCAATAAATACATTAAAACAAATCATCACTGTAAGTATAAAATTATAACTCAGCCACTCATGTGTACCTAGTATAAATAATCTAATGTATTCGTATTTAAATGATATTTGCATAGGCTCTCGCTAAGTCGTGCGATGTAGCTCCAATGGTTGTGCCATTAAATACATTCATGAATAAATATGAACTCAAGGTGAGCTAAAAATTCAGATTGTACCTAATTAAGCACTTATGTAAAAGTTAAATTTCGAAACGATCGTAGGACATACATAAACAAATTATGTCAGCCGATATTAAAGTTAATTCGAGCATTAACCGATTGTGGCCTAACTTCGAATGGTACAACAATAAACCATCAATACTGAATTCAATGAAATATTTAGTTGAAACGTACAAAAGAGTTCATAACATAAAAGTGAACATTTTTTTTAAATAATTATTTGGAATGTATATTTTGTAGTATACTGATTAGAGATAAAAGTGTAATTTTTTTGCATAGAGTATTAAATTAATTGTAATCGGTCCCCCGGCTTCTGGTAAGACCAAACTTGCACTTCAACTGGCGCAGTATTATGGTTTACTTTACTTGGAACCAAAAAAAATAACTCAAGACTGTATTAATGGAATTGTGAGTTTTAAATAATTAATTTTTATAAACAAATTATGCATAATGGTGTCAAATTATTTTGTGAAGAGAGAAGAAATCAGTTTACTGTACCACAAAAGTCAATTTACCGAGGATTCGGAAGATTTATTAGATGATGCTGATGACCAAGCTGAAATTAGTCCAATTATAACTAACAAAATATCAGAATTAAATAAAAAGCTATCAATGTTATATTCATCTATGGATGCCAATAATGATGAATTGGAAGATATTTATCTAATTCCGTAAATCGTTTTTACATTTTTCTTATGTAGATACCACCTGCAGCTATATTCTATAGGTTCTTATATTTTTTTTTTTATAGATTATTGAATGAAAGAATAGCACTTTTTAAACGTGGGTATGTCTTGGATGGATATCCAACGACAGTAGATCAAGCCAAAATGCTATTCCGATTCGATGATGCGAATTTACTTCAATCAAATATTGATATTAATAAATTGCCTGGTAGGTACCTATACAAATTTCAAATATATACATTTTTATTTTAATAATACTATTGCGTATGTATCTACCTAGTACCTACCTACTATATAATATAGGTATATAGTTTAATGGTATATTTATTAATATAATATATATACACAAATATTGGCTATATATAAAAAATCAAAGGCTAGGTGTACTTATATTATAATAGTATGTATTTTTGCATATCAATTGATGTGTTATTATTTATTATGTTGTTGTAGATTTGACAGTTAATTTAACGCAAAACGCAGAGGGTGATATTTTACCCGCTGAACAGAACAGTGAAATCCATAAAAATACAAACACCAATACGCTTAAAAATGAAAGTGCAAAAAGACGACTCCTGTTCTCAGAAGTTGACATAATACACTCATCAAATTCTGACGTCGCAGTAGTATCTAATGTAGTTGCAGCTAAAGCCATTCTGAAAAAACAAATTAAAAAAAAATCGTAAAATATTAATCATTTTTAAAAATAATATATTTTAATATATTAATGGACAATAATGTAATAACTCGATTATTTTAGCAAACACTTAATTTGGAATGAACAAAATCATAATAATCTCTTGAAATTACTCAATTTTTATTATGCGCCGATAAAGATGATTGAATCTCCATACTTACCACTAAAATTGTATACTAAATACTAATAAAGTTCAATTACCAGAATTTGATCCAAGTTTTGAACAGTTTTTAAGTATAGTTGTAAAGGAAATCAAATTGAATCAACAACATGGTGATTGAAAAATTATAGTACCTATAACATACTAATTATTAGTAATTAGTAATTACGTCTTATTATACTACTATTTACTAAGGTCTAACAATTTAATAATTAACAACTAACATAATGTGGTACATGAATGAGGCTCAATATAATAATAATTACCTATATCGATGTAGGTAGGTACTCTATGTTTTATTCTGTATTAAGGTTAATAATTATAGGAATATTGGAGAAAATTACTGATTTAAATGAAACGAATTCAATAGAGGAAGAAATTAATATTGAACATCAAAAATATAAACACAAACAACTCAAGGAAAAAGTAAATATCTGTTTAACATATATTATAATGTAATGACTGAAAAATTAATCGTTTACGGTTATAAGTGGCTCTAATATGTTATAGGGGCTAAACAAAATTAACTATATAGACGTATAGTAAAGGAAGCGTGTAACTTGATATTTTCTCCTCTGCACGGAAAATCATTGAATATCTGCATAATTTATTGTTTTTCCTTTGGGGAGGGGGGTACAACACGTGCGTGAATCATAGATGATAGATATGAATTCAAATTATAATTACATGAAAAATGTATAAGCGAAGTTGCTATATGGTAAGGTAATTATATATTATTCATCGGTTGCTGTGCCATGTAGAATCCATCACGAGTACAAAAATAAAATCGTATCCAACTCAAAAATATATATATTGTAAACGACAAAATATGCTCATACAAATGTTAAATATGCAAAAATATGTACTGTCTAAAATCTAAATATGTAGAACAATTTGCGGGGAATCTTCTTTTAAAATGTCTAACGTAAGCTAAGGAAAGAAAAACTTTTATGAATTTCTAACTGAAAATAGTTTAAAAATTTTCGAAATTTAATATTATATGCATATAAAAAATTAACTGTGCTTATATAATAAATCTTTAATATTTTTGAACTCCCATTAATAATACTTATAAAGAACCTAGCATTTAATTTTCAAGATTTTTTACTACGTGAAAAAGTTTTTACTATTGTACTTTAGTAGGAACTCTACTAATAGGTAACGAAAAATACCATCTAATATTGTTATACAAAAATATCTATGGATCTTACAGTTAACATTGCTAGAAGATTTTAGGAAGGCGACGGATTTCGAATACATCGAAAGTTTGTCTAACGAAGAATATCTAATGAAATACGTCACTCCTAATTTGACTAAATTGATAGTTCAAGTTGCAAAAGTGAGACCAAAAAATCCTGTTGATTTTATGGTGAACATAACTATATTATCTATTTAATATTGTGACATTAATTGTACTATTACGATTTAATAATATGAGTATTATAATTATTACACATGTTAGGCATACATGGCCCTTAAAGAGAATCCGGAAGGTTTACCAAATTTACCAGGCTATTCTAAGGGAGGTGTGAATATCCAAAAAATATTGGACCGCATGTTCCATTTGTATAATTACGATGAAAATGAAATAATGGAAGCAAAACCATTAATGGACGCTTTGATAGCACATTATACGGATGAAGAAGATACAAACACCGAAGAAGAATAGGTTAAAAATTAACAAGAATTTATTATAATTTAACCATAAAATATTATATTTATTTTAAATTCTTAAAAATATACTAAGTGAATTATTAATTATTTTTTTTTGTTCTCGCTATCAACATGACGTAAGCTCATTATAGATACATTAATTATTTATTTTTATTGGTATTTGACGGTATAACAATAATAAAGATATCCTGTATAATATTATATTTTATTATACGAGAATAAGTGTAATACCTAGGTACCTAAGTAATAAATTGAATAATATAATAACAAGATTTAATAACTGCTATAATTGTTAAAACAAATCTAAAAAGGTGGGCAAGTGGGTGTCGCTCTGCTGTACAGTAGGTTACAAGTGGGTCACTGTATAATGGATGATATTAAATTTGAATTCAACGATATAATATCATTGTATAAGAAAAACGATTCTGAGCGGAGACGGTATGTCAGTCTAGGTATAAGACATATTATATACATATCTATGGTACTAAATCAACATTTGACCTATAAATTATAATAGGTAGGTACCTATAATGAATTCAAAATTAATCATATCACAATATCCATTAGGTACTTATAACGCGTTATACACCAACAACAAAAACTGATACTATCATAGATATATAGTAGTATACTTTAGAAGTTTCAAGTACCCACGAAAAATATTATACAATCACAATAAAATATCTAAAATAGTTACCTATTCTAGGTCTTTTATTATGTAAATTCGTCCAAATTTGAATTTAAAATGTCTGTAAAAAATAACTGTGTTCATATATTTTTTAGATTTTTTGGTTACAGTATGAACTATTTATGAGAACCTTTGTTTTAAATTTGCAATCCTTAGCTATAAAAACTGAACATTTTATAGTTTATTAATTACAATGATTGATAATTTTCGAGATTTTGATAAATGTTGTCAAAATTCGATCTTTAAATGCTTATAAAAAAAAATTGTGCCTATGTATTTTTAAAAGTTTTCAATTGCTATTGTAACAATATAATATCAGGAGCCTTGTATTAAATTTTTACACTTTTTGGCCCAACAGATAAAACTTGATTGATATTTATAGAAAAAAAAACTAAAATATTGAAAACTGAAAATGTCCGTTAACAGCTCAAAAAAAGTCAAAATATTTTCAAAATTGTACAGTGTATAGAAAATGCTAATATGAATATTCAGTGAAATTTTCATGTATCTACAGTTATTCGTTTTTGAATTACAACAAAATAAGGAAATCGCTACATGAGAAATCGAGTGAATATCCAATGTTGTAAAAATTTGAATTTCAAACGCTCATAAAAATTTAATTTGACTTTCCGGTAGAGATTTTTTTATTGATAAATGTAGACAAACTTATGAGTAATCTTGTATTAGATTTTCAAATCTTAGATTTAAAAATAAAAATTTTTATGAATTTCTAACTCGAAATAATTTGCAAATTTTCGTGATTTTTCCATATTTTGTCATTTTTTGAACTTTAAATGTTTAAAAAAAAAACTGTGACTAACGATTTTTAATATTTTTCATCTGTCTTTGAAACAATATAGTAGGAGCCTTGTATTAAATTTTCAAGTATTTTTACTCAACAAATAAATTTTTATTGATATTCATAAAAAAAAAAACTAATAAAATTGGAAAATGAAAAATATTTTGAAAATGTCATCGTGTATAGAAAATGCAAATATAAACAACCACTGAAAATTTCATGTATCTACGGTCATTTGTTTTCAAGTTACACCAAAAACCAAAATCGATTTTCTCGAAAACAGATTTTGCGTAAAAATTCCCGTTTTTCCTTAATTTTTCTTTTGTTTTTCCCGGCGCTTTTGAAAACTACTGGGAAATTTAAATTTTGACCTCCTCATTGCACCAACGATATTCACTTTCCAATCGAACAAGATACTGAAGTTGAAAATCCAAGCATTATTTCGACTACTTATCGTGTACACAGACACAAAAAAAATAAAAAAACACACATCATTGTAAAATCAATACATTCATCGTACCACTCAGAATCTAAAATGAGGCTCATCATTCCTTGATTGGCTATTGATTAAAGACTTAGCTCTCCTTCATGGGTCATGTTCTAGGCCCTAGGGTATCATATAAGATTGCAAGTCGTTACATCTATTATAAAATCAAAATAACATAAACTGAGCTTAGAACAAGAGTTTTCATCCCTTCACTAGTTAAAAGCAACCTTTTTTGATATAAGATATCGCAAAATTCAAAAACAAGTAAAATATGTATGGAAATGGCAACTAACAGGTGTTATCAACACCTAAGTTCAAAGAAAATTAACAAATCATCCATTCAACGATTGTGGTACACAACATGATAATTTGTAAGAATTGTAGTCTCCCTTCTCTATCTATAAATTGTACCTACAACACATAATATTTTTACTTTGGTAAATTTATGGTTTGATATTTTTATTTATAATGATGTTATAGATTGAAGGATGTGGATTTATACTTTATAATAACAACAAAATATGGTATTAATGTATTATTAATCTATTAAGTGTCGAGCTCGACTGAGTTTCTACAGTGACTGACGTAGTGTGGTCAATATGGAATATATTTGATAATTTTATAGACTTAATTGCTTAATAATTCACTCTGGTTTTCAATTTTATATGAGTTATAAAATGAAATACCTCATTCTAAATAGTATATTTGATTCATGTAATCTAAAAATGTATGTTATATTCTGAAGTCTATCCATCCACACTCTACAGAGTATAAATAATACAGAATTAGACCATGAACGGCATCAAATATGAACTAAGATCATATTTTATCATCAATATCTTTGTTCATACTCAAAACCTACAGTATAGCAGAGCAACTTGGTTTTTTCATTTGATTTTCAAATAAAAACTACACAAGTCAGAAATAATAAAATAAACATGTTTATAACAATTAAACAGTTAAGATTCTAAAATTCACATTATTATATTTTCCATTAGGAATATTGAGTTTTTTTAACATCAGGTACTTTTATAAAAATGTAGTATTGTATATTTGAAAGTTAATTTTGTTAACAAATAATAAATAAATACTACACTTAAGTATTTTAATACTATAAGTTCTAACATAAATTAATTGATAATAAAGATGAGTTAAAATAATCCGTGTATAATATTTAAAAT